TTTTTATCTTAATTTTTATGTATGTGCTCAGATAAAAATAATTTGAAAACTGAAAAAAAAAATGTTATTTCAAAGTGTAACCGCCACGCTCTGCAGTTAGTATATTTTTTGGTTAGTATGAAGCTGAGTCGGTATTTTGGTATATTTAACCCTGAGTAGTTTTGGTTTTGGTTGGACGCAGCTCGACGCAGCAGATGTAAGTTGATTTACGTCCAGAATAGATCCACAAAGGTCGTAGTTATAGTGTATATAGTGGCTCAGCCCATCGATAAAAGATATATCCTACTTTAGCCAGAAAAAAGTGAAAAAAATGGACACCTGGCAGGTAGGGATTTACCTGTGCAAGCCCTAACCCAATTCCCATTTTTTTTGGATTGGGTTACAGTTTATGAAAAGCAATCGAGCATAGCTATGTATTTAAGAATATATATACCCATCCCTCCGCTGCCGCTGTTGGCAACGAAGCTACGAGACTTAGACTTCCTTAGCTGTTAAGACATATTGATAAAGACATATACTATTGTGAGCTCCGAGCGACATGAAAGGCTGCTCCGAAACCAAGATGGGAATTGCACTAAGTTTTGCTATACCTCTATAGTGTTCAATGTTAGATTTACTGCCCTTTTTATGAAGTGGAATGATAAAAGATCCTTTCCAAACTTCGGGGAAAAACGAATGCTGAAGTGATAACTGAAAAAGTCTAGCCATTGGTCTACATAATGACCTGGACAATTTCTCAGAACGCAGCTAGGTACAAGATCTAGACCAGAGAAGAAGGAAAGTTTGATTGGTGAGATTATGGAGAACATCATCTTCGCTGATTACAGGCATAAAAATACAATTGGAGTGCGGAAGTGGAAAATAATACTCTGAGTTATTATCGAAATTAATTTGTGAGTATGTAGTCTGGAAGAATTTTGCGAACAGGTTCGCGATATCAGGCTCATTAGAAGCGGAGGCATTCTTGAAATGATGACATGATGGAATTTGTTGAGATTTCCGTTTCGAGTTTTCGAAAGCGTAAAATTGCTTAGGGGCCTGAAACTCAATTTTGCACCGATTTAAGTGGTTTCTGTAGCATTCAGAATTGTGTGCTAGGAAATTTGTACGAGCAGTTAAATATCTCTAATGGTCGACTTGGAGACCAGATTTGCTATACTTTTTAAATAGTATGGATTTTTAATTTCTGAGATAAGAAAGCCGACCAGAAAACCAAGGGGGCTTATGAGAAACTTCTGGTGAGGGAAATGAAGGGACATACATGTCAAAAGCTGCGTCATAGAAACGCTTAACGATAAGTGAGGGATCCCCTGTGGAGTTCAAGAAAGTCCAATCAGTTAAGGATAAGTCAGCTTCCGGACACAATAGTAATGGAGAGGAGGCTTCAAGGGTTAGCTCCAAAGTGGGATGATAAGCGTCTTCAGGACTAGAATGAGGGTCAATACTAGTGACGTAGGCATTGGCAAACTCAGAGACAGAGATGAGGTCTAAGACGTTATGCAGTTCCTAACGAAATTTAATTGTCCCAATGAGTGGTCAATGAGACCATGAATTAAATCATGGGGTGAGGTGGGAACAAGAACATTTGAATCACGTAAGGGCATCCAAGAAATAGAGGGCAGATTGAAATCACCCGCCACCGCCTGTCCGTATTAGACGATCACGTCTAAAGATGGTATAGTTCCCTGAACAAATCTCAGAGTTAGACTCAGGGGAGTTGTGCCATGTTTCTGTAAAGCATCTCTGAAACAACAATGTAAACAAAAGCTCCCAATTATCTATTTTGCAAAAGATAAGCCGAGATAAGCGACTGCGCTCGCTGTTCTCTCGGACCTACGCACTCTCATCATTAACATTCGCCTTTGATCGCTGGTACAGAGCAGCTCGTTCGCTCTCGCTACCACAATAAACGCATTGAAAATCGAACCACATTCTCGGCTTTCCTTTTAACACCGTTCTGACACACGCATAATTCTCTCTCGTTAAATATTCGCAAAAAAAGGTGGCATAAATTAATGCCTCCTCTAAACATTTGGTGACCCCGACGTGATCGTGAACGTGTGTTAAAGTTAAGCAATTATTAAATATCGTTTTAATAATTCTACGCGCCCTTTGCATGTGTCGCTGCAGGGCCATACACACACAAACTCTTTTCGCATCGCTTCGCCCGGTATTCGTACATACCGGCATACATACATACATACATTGTACAGTTAGAATCGGCTGCTGTACAGTTTGAATTTTTCTGCATTACGGAAGGTGTTACGCAACTTCGCTCGCCAGGCAGAGGTCGCTGCCCGTTGTTTTCGGCTCCTTCATTACTCTCAAATTCGTTCTTTGGTTTTCGCTGGCCCAAGTGCAGGTGCAGCGGAAATTTCGTGCGGTGACTTTCGTATACCCTACAAGCGGCAAATAAAAAGTAAAAATGCCAGCCAAACATACGAAAAAACCTGAGCTCGCGCCTCACGCACCAAACGGCGAGGAGTTTTATCGGGCTAAGGCAGCTTCTATGGTACGCCAGCTGGCGGCCCTAAATTCTTTTTTGACAGAGGAGCAGTTGGCCAAGTTCGACGAAAGTGAGTTGCAGGTGCGGTTGGACCTAATCGAGCGCATGTACTCTGACTTCGACAGCTCTCGACTTAACCTTGAACAACTTGTGCTTGAGGAGTTGGAGTCAGATGCGCGCTTAACCTTTACCACGGCATATTGTGAGACGAAAGGAAAAATCTGCCGCCATCTCAACAGCGAGAAGAGAAAGTCGTTGGCAAATTCAACTGAGTTGCATGGCATCCTCGGTGGACACGCAGCCGCCTTCAAGTGCAATTCGAGGCCCACCAGGCTACCGGAATTTCAGCTTCCGCGATTTGGCGGAGCATACATCGATTGGCCGGATTTCTACGCCATGTTCAACACTGTGGTGGGAAAGAACGAAGATCTAACAAAAGTGGAAAAGTTTCAGCATCTTCGCGCATGTTTGGACGGCATTGCACTGGACGCAATTCGCTCGCTGGAGCCCACGGAAAATAATTACGACAGGGCTTTGGAATTGTTAACGTCGAGATTCGATAATAAATTATTGCACTTTCAGGCACATGTTCGGTCTTTATTCAAGCTACCCGGAGTGGAGAAGGGCTCCGCAAGTAGTCTGCGGCAGTTAAGCGACAAGGCAAATTCTCATTTGCGCGCCCTGGCTACTATGGCCTCTACACAGGAAATATATGACGGCCTCTTAATTCATCTCATCGCTTCAAAACTGGACGTTCAGACCCAGGAGAGGTGGGAAGAAGGATTACCTTCCAAGGAGCTGCCAAGTTGTGATAAATTCTCATCGTTCTTGGACCTTAGATGCCGCATGATGGAAAATTTGGAATACGCTATGGTAAACCAAGCACCTAGCAAGCAGGTTGGAAAAGTAGCTAACAAATTCTGTCGTAGCACCCTCATTGCTTCATCATCAGCTATGCCATCATGTACCTTGTGCGAGTCTAGGGAACATTATTTGACAAAATGCCCACAGTTCTTAGGATTGAACCCCAATCAGCGGTATAGAGAGTCAAAAAGGCTACATCTTTGTCTCAATTGCCTACGAAAGGGACACAGCCTACAGCAATGCAAGTCTGGCAACTGTAGACACTGCCACCAGAGGCATCATAGTCTTCTTCATTTGGAAACAAATCCCGTTCCAACCCTGGCCCAGCCTGTTCCAGAAATACTTCCGCAAGGATCATCTCACGTCTCTGTAGCCTTGTCCAAAACGCCACCGCTAGCTTCATCGTCAACTAGATCCGAATACGTCTTGCTTGCTACCGCCATAGTCTACGTGAAAAATCGCTTTGGCGTGTTCGTGCCATGCAGGGCCTTGCTCGATTCATCTTCTCAAATCAATTTCGTCACATCTCGTTTCGCCAATCAGCTTCAGCTCAAAATCCATCGTTCAGTCATCTCCATATCAGGAATCGGTGAATCCTCGCTCGCTTCGGATAAATCGGTTCATATTTTCGCTCAGTCGAGCAACGCAAAGTATAGCACTTCGCTCTCCGCTGCTGTCACCCAATCAATCACCGATTACCACCCGCGTTTCGATCTCAACGCGTCTGAATGGAAAATACCGGAAAATCTCGAGCTCGCCGACCCGCTCTTCTACAAAAGTCAACGCATCGACTTGCTTATTGGAGCAAGCATATTCTTCGATTTACTTTGTATTGGACAAATTCGATTAGGCAGCAACTTACCCACTCTGCAGAAAACCGGTAGGATCTTCCATTTGCTCATCGTTAGTTTCTTTATCTCAAGAGCCCAGCACTCATTCGGAGTCGGAATCGATCTCTGAGATACTAAAGAGATTTTGGGAAATAGACAACTGCGCAGATTCCACAAAAACCATTTCGAAAGAAGAAGCTCTATGCGAGCAGCTATTTCAGTAGGAATACACTCGGCTTAAATCTGGCCAATACTCGGTACTACTTCCTGCCAAAACTAGTTTCGATGCTCAAGGAGATTCGTATGATCGTGCACTTATTCGTTTTAAATCACTCGAGACCAAATTAGCTAGAAATTTAGAGCTAAAGTCGCAGTATAAAGCCTTTATAGAGGAGTACCTGAACCTTGGTCACATGTCTCTAACAACTAAAAATGCTGCGCCTCATCAGTATTACCTACCTCACCACTGCGTCCAAAAATTGGAAAGTACAACAACAAAACTGCGAGTTGTTTTCGACGGCTCGGCGAAGTCCACTTCGGGATATTCGTTGAACGATTTGTTGTATGCTGGTCCTTCTATTCAACCAAAAATCTTCACTACCCTGCTTCGTTTTCGATTTTTCAAGGTTGCCTTGTGTGGAGATATTTGCAAAATGTATCGCTGCGTTCGGGTTACGCATCCCCATCAGTTTCTGCAATGTATTCTATGGCGCGATCGGCCAGAAGACGATATTCAAGTTTACTCGCTTGACACCGTAACCTATGGCACGAAGCCTGCTGCTTTTTTGGCAATTCGTGCAATGCAGCAGCTATCCTACGATGAAGAAGCGGAATTTCCAGTAGCAGCTAAAATCATACGCACAAACTTCTACGTGGATGATCTAATCGCAGGAGGAGACACCATTGAGGAGGTAGTTGAAATTCGTCAACAAATCAAGGCGCTCCTGGAAAGAGGACACTTTCCAATTCGCTAATGGTGTTCCAACGAGCCTGCTGCGCTAGAAGGAGTGGATGACTCGGATCGGGAGAAAACTTTAAAGTTCCACGACGGAACCGACGTTACAAAGGCGTTAGGTTTATCTTGGGACACGCTATCGGATAGCTTGCTTTTCAGCTTCTCAAACGAATGGACAGAAAAACCCTCAACCAAGCGCAGCATCCTGTCGGCTATCGCTAAGTTTTACGATCCCCTTGGACTAATAGCCCCAATCATAACCAAGCTTAAAATTTTCATGCAGGTCTTATGGAAGGATAAGCTCGACTGGGATGAATCCCTGCCGCAATCTTTGCATTCCGCTTGGTTGGAGCACATGTCGCAGATCGCCACAGTTGCTTGTTTGAGGTTTCCACGCTTTGTTCTGCAGCATAACTCATCGTGCGAAATACATGGATTTTGCGATGCAAGCATGGCAGCTGACGGAGCTTGCATCTATGTTCGATCAGAGAACCAAGGTATCGTTTCGTCGAACCTACTTTGCTCGAAATCAAGAGTCGCACCCTTGAAGACCCTCACGATTCCGAAGCTAGAGTTATCTGCAGCTCTTTTACTCTCTGAGCTTGTCTCTCAAGTGGCACAAATCGCACCTCGATCTTGCACCTTTCATTGTTGGTCAGATTCGACAATAGTCTTGGCTTGGATCCGACAACCTCCATCAGATTTTAACATTTTCGTTTCGAACAGGATTTCGCAGATACAGGAAAGAACTAAGGGAATGACTTGGAGGCACGTACCGTCACGGCAGAATCCGGCGGACATCTTATCTCGTGGATGTACCCCTATTGAGCTGATGGAATCAAAACTTTGGAGTGAAGGACCGCAGTTCGCACTCACTGATTCTTCTACATGGCCCGATGACTCGCCCCCTGTCAAGGAACTTCCTGAGCGTCGACGCAGCGCATTGGTGCTGTCGCAGGAAATGGACATCTCACACAGTTGCAAGTTTGGAAACTCGTTTTGGAGAATGCAGAGAGTCTTCGGATATATATATCGGTTCCTTCAAAGGGTCAGCAAGGATCGAGTACGGCATAAAGGAGAGCTTACAGTCGAGGAAATCAAAGGTGGGACTCATCTACTTATTAAAGGAATTCAGCGCGTGCACTTTGCCGAGGATCACAAAGCATTAACCTTGAAGATGAAGCTGTCGCCGAGAAGTAAACTTCTGTCCTTAAACCCATTTATAGATGCAGGAGGTCTAATGCGCGTCGGCGGACGCCTTCAAAATTCGCAGCTGGATTTCGATGCCAAGCACCCTATGATTCTTCCCAAGTCTCATCATATAACCTCAGCTATCATTGATCATTTTCATCGCAAGTTCCTTCATGCAGGAGCGCAGAGCTTGTTAGCCGCTTTACGACAGAGATTCTGGCCCATTGGAGGGCGAAAAACGGTTTCTGCTGTCATCAACAAGTGCATTCAATGTTTCAGATTAAAGCCCAAGCTAGTAGAACACATCATGGCGCCGCTCCCGGAGGACCGAGTGCAGCCGAATCGCCCATTCGTCATCTCTGGAGTGGACTTTTGTGGCCCCTTTTATTCGAAGTCAGAGGTCAGAAACAGGCCCCCTACGAAGTGCTACATAGCCATATTCGTTTGCTTCGTCAGCAAGGCCACACACTTGGAAGTCGTCGAAGACCTTTCAACGCAATCGTTCATAGCAGCCCTGAAGCGATTTATAAGCCTGAGGGGAAAACCTCAAACTATTTGGTCAGACAACGCAACGAACTTCGTGGGAGCCAAAAACGAGCTAATTGAGCTTCGGCAGCTGTTTCTGAGCGATCCTCAAGACATGGAGCTATGGAATTCCCTTACGTCGATGGAGATCCGCTGGAATTTCATCCCACCTCGTTCTCCGCACTTCGGTGGCCTGTGGGAAGCCGCGGTCAAATCCGCAAAATATCATCTCGTCCGTGTTGTTGGAAAATCAATTCTCACATTTCATGAACTGCGCACTTTAGTTTGTGAAATTTCCGCAATTTTAAACTCACGACCGCTCTGTCCCATTTCAGAAAACCCAGATGACATTAGTGTCCTTACTCCTGCACACTTTCTCATTGGATCTACATTCACTGCAATGGATGAGCCTGATGTCACCCATCTGAACATCGATCGCTTGAGCCGGTGGCAGCGCGTATGCCAAATGCAGCAAACCTTTTGGCGCAAATGGAGCGCCGACTACCTTTCGCTGCTGCAGGAGCGGACTAAATGGCGCCTTCCTGTGAGCAACGTACCGGCAGGCAGCATGGTCCTCATCAAGGAGGACAACGTACCCCCTTTGCGGTGGCGCCTCGGCAGGGTCGAGAGCACCGTCGCCGAAGAGGACGGCGTCGAACGAGTTGCAGTCATCCGAACCGACTCTGGACTATGCAAGCGGGCAATGAGGAAGCTTGCGGTACTGCCCCTGGAAACCACTTCACTTGGAAGCATGACTCTTCCAACGGGGGAGCATGTCGGGAGCAGCCGCAGCAATCAACTTAATATCAATTTAAAATCATTTATTGTTTGCCATTTGGTCAGCATCTCTGACAACAACAATGTAAACAAAAGCTCCCAATTATCTATATAAGCCGAGATAAGCGACTGCGCTCGCTGTTCTCTCGGACCTACGCACTCTCATCATTAACATTCGCCTTTGATCGCTGGTACAGAGCAGCTCGTTCGCTCTCGCTACCACAATAAACGCATTGAAAATCGAACCACATTCTCGGCTTTCCTTTTAACACCGTTCTGACACACGCATAATTCTCTCTCGTTAAATATTCGCAAAAAAAGGTGGCATAAATTAATGCCTCCTCTAAACAAGAATCAATTAGTTTTTTGGAGGCCTAGTTTCAGGAGTTTGAGGGCCGCGAATTCGTTCTTTACATCGTGTGTTCCGTTAACCTATCGGTCGGTTCTTGGTTCACTAAAGAGCTGACACGTCTAAAAAACATTAAGTCTAGGCTTTATAATAGTTATAAACGTACCGGTTCTCTTACTGTTATTTCTAGTTGTCTTAGTATTCGGTCGAATTTTACCGTGCTTAATGCGCAGTCTTATAAAAATTATTTATTTCTCTGTAGGGTTCAGTTTACGCAGGACCCGAAACAGTTTTATTACTTTGTTAACACTAAACGTAAATCCAATTTATATCTTTCCTCGCTTTCATTTAATAACATTACAGCAAACTCTGATCAGACCATCGCCGATCTCATTGCTGAGTTTTTCAAAACTACTTATTCTTCCTCAAATAGCTTAGATCAGACTTTTGATATGCCCAGGTCGAACGCAATCTTCAGTCCTATTTTAAACGAAAGCTCCCTTAGTATGGATCTTCATCGTGTAAAACCAGGTTATTCACCGGGTACCGATGGAATACCAGGCTGCGTGCTCAGGTATTGTGATGGAGCTCTGTGCAATCCCCTTCTGAAATTGTTTACCTTATCTACAATTATACAATTATAAGTGTAAACTTGCTGCGCTGGGATAATATAATAAATAAATTAAATTAAATCTTTAGAAACCATGTCAGCATGGATTTATGAGGCAAAGATCGACCACTACAAATCTCCTGGAACTCATCTTTTTTGTTATTAGGGATTTCCAACGTAACTTTCAAACCGACGTGATTTACACCGTCTTCAGTAAATCCTTTGACTGGGTTAATCACTTTCTTTTTGTAAGGAAGCTTAACTTAAACGGGTTTCCTGTCGATCTTCTTAAATGGATTTTGAGTTATTTGAGTGACAGAACTCAAAAGGATCTGTTTAAAAATGCTCTATCCGAATTCCTCAGAGTCACTTCTGGCGTCCCACAGGGTAGCCACCTCGGCCCGCTGCTATTTACTTTGTTTATCAATGGCCTCCCGCTGGTTTTAACGAACTCTAAAGTACTTAAGTACTCTGATGACGTTAAACTATACTTGCACTACAAGGACAGCGGGTGGTAAGGGTGCGCCAATCCAAGGCAAAGTCAGCAGAGCAACTGTTGATGAATATTCCTTGGCTCAAATGGAACACCAAGTCGACTCGCAGGTGAATATCGGTTTGATAGGCACCACCTTCTCCTCGGAGAAGGTCCTCCGCGTGGTACCTCCTGGAAACGTACTACGGTACGGCCAATGCGAGCGGCACCTCCTGTGAATCCCGCACCCAATAATCCTCTGACTCCCAATCCTTACCAAGACATGGGCAAGTCTTGAAACTGCCTCCCCTCAAGTCAGGCGTGTAAAGCGACCCGTGCGTACTGACTATAAGGTTCGCAGCTGAGGGGTCAAACCACCTGTGTTCGAACGGAGCCTTCCCAGGGCCGGGCAACCCTGGGTCGTAACAAGCCTTGCCGTGGCTTAGGGGCGAAGCTACGGGCCCGCCGCGCTCGCCCTGCCAAGCAACGCAGGCGTTTATGAACATGAATTCGACCAAAAAATCCGCTTCAGACCTCGTGGGGGAGGTAAAACCCCAACAACCACCGACGGAGAGTAAATTGGACGAGGTGGAGCTACTGCGCTCAGACGATGAGACTCTGGCTCCGTCCATTTCAGAGGAAGGTGCAAAGACCAGTACACCTCAAGCGACACAACCAACGACGAGTAAAGCTGCGGCAAGCCAAGCCAAAGCGACGGGCGAACACGGACTTGTTGCTAGACTGGGCAACGAATGGAAGGGGATAAGCATAGAGCTGGTCCCCGCCAATGACATCTCAAGGAGACCCAGAGCTCGCATTTGGTTGCCCAAGGGACTGTCTAGCCATGAAAGGGTGCTCAAGACTCTGCGAGCGATGAACAAGGGAGTCGATATGGAGGACTGGGTCATCCTCAAAGCGGAACGGGAGATGAAGTCCAGCCATCCATACCTGTTCCTGATCAACCAGCGCCGCCTAGAACAGCTTAAGTCAGCAGACAATAAAGTCCGGTACGGCATTAAGAAAGCCAAGGTAAAGGTCATCCTACACGAACCGGACGATATTCTGGAAGACGAAGTCGAGGACGCCAATAAGCTGCTGGACGATTTGGCAATCGACGACAGGACCCCCAACACCACTCCGATCTAATGCCGACGGTCGTTCAGATCAACCTGAAGCGCAGCTCCCGCACTTCAGCTAATCTCGGGGTCCTTCTTCGGGAGAAGGACATCGACATCGGCCTCATACAAGAGCCATGGACAAGGGACGGACCAATCTCTGGCATTGCAATAAAAGGATACACAACATTGTACACAAACTCGATAGGTATGTAGGCCGAGGGTGGGTATAATCATTAAAAACAACCTTAATGCTCTTCTCTACCCCAATCTCAGCAACTTAGATCTAGCAGTGGCAAGATTCAAGGCGGCGAATGGGACAGCCGTACTAATAGCCTCTGGATATATGGCCCACGACGAACCAGCACCACCTGAAGCGTTCAATAGGGTGATGCAGTGGGCAGAGGAGACTAAGACGACGCTCATCCTCGGGTGCGACGCCAACGCAAGGCACACACTGTGGGGAAGTAAGCAGACAAACGAAAGGGGTGAGTCTCTCTTCGATAGTAATTATGTCGTGACGTCACTATTTGTAACAAGGGAAACACGCCCACCTTCATCTTTCCAAGTATAACCCTCCAAATGGAGCATAGCGATTATAAGGTAAGAAATTGGAGAGTGTCTACACAAGACTCGTTTTCAGACCACAGGTACAAATTCTTCGAAATCGTGATGCCGATATGTGAAACGGAGCTGAAGCGAAACCCTCGTAACACTGACTGGGACAAATATGGAAAGATTGTACAGTCAAAGGCCAAAGATAGAAGGATCAAGACTCGATCCACCCCGGAAAGATTAGATAAGGAAGTCGATGACTTCACAAATATTCTGAACAAAGCTTACAAAGAGTCATGCAGACTAACATACTCTAAGAAGACATACCCACCATGGTGGAACAAAGAGCTATGCGAGCTCAGAAAGAATGTTCGAAAAGCCTTCAACACTAGTTACGGAACCAAAGACTGGCAACCGTACAAAGCAATACATAAAGAATACAAAAAGGCAATCTACGTAGCCAAGAAAGAATCTTGGAGTAGCTACTGTGAATCGCTTGAAGGAGTCAAAGACACGGCGAGGCTAAATAAAATCCTATCGAGAGGACACACAAGCCCCACGCTCATAAATAAACCCGACGGGACAGGAAGTACGTCGGCTGAAGAGTCACTGGAAATCCTGCTGAATACGCATTTCCCAGGAAACCAAAAAGAAGAACCTATAACAATGGAAAGCCAGGGGGCAGACCAGCAGTTAAAAATAGAAGAGATCATCACCATGGAAAGAATCCATTGGGCGATAGATTCCTTCGACAGATACAAAAGCCCGGGTCCGGACGGAATTATATCAGCAATGCTACAAACAACAAAAGCAAGCACGGGAAAATGGCTGCAATCAATCTTCCAGGCATGCATTAAAACAGCACACATACCACTTCCATGGAAGGAAGCGAGGGTAGTCTTCATACCAAAACCAGGAAGAAGGGGACACATCCAAGCCAAGGATTATAGGCCGATAAGCCTTACCTCTTTTCTAATGAAAACACTGGAAAGGATCATTGATATCCACATCAGAGAAAGAACGGAGAAAAACCTTTCCAATGCGCAACATGCGTACAGGAGGAGCCTTTAATAACGTAAATGCGGATTCCATCCTGAGCTCCCTCAACGGTATAGGATTAGAAGGAGGCATCAGGGAATGGATTGGCGCAATGCTGACGAGCAGGTGGATAACAGCCGAACTGAGTGGCACTCATCACATAAGATTTGTGAACAGGGACACACCTCAGGGGGACATATTAAGAAAACTAAATAGCGAAGGAGTAAAAGTGGTAGCATACGCAGACGACGTAGTCCTACTCACTTCAGGACCATTCCCCCGACGTCATCAGCGAAGTAATGACAAGGGCACTCACGAAACGCAATGCATGGGCGAAAGCCTGCGGATTGGGCATAAATCCAAGTAAAACGGAACTAATGCTCTTCACCAGGAGAACTAAGGTCCCAAGATTCACAAAGCCAAAGATAGATGGCATAGAACTAGAGATATCTCAGCAGGCACAGTATCTGGGAGTTGTTCAGGCAATTCAGTGGCAGCTCATCTTTGAAACCCAATGTTTACATTTAGTACCTAAGATCATAGAGCTGAGCTTGCATGCTCATATAGCGAAAAAGCTCTCTCCCTCTCTCTTACTCATTCACTCAAGAACCCATTATTTTGTAAATCAAACAGCTCAAGAAGGAGCTTTAATAAACTGTGAAATCACTCGCAATCTGGAATCGAAAGCGTTGAGAAGCCCATCTTTGTGTCCGCATTTTAATTTTTATTTGAAACATAATTTGCCGTACCGGCCAGTTCGCAATTGGGCGAACATTTTGGCGCCCCCGGGTGGACATTTGGATCCCCATCGCTGGACATTTGGAGCCATATCGTGGGAGCCATTGGAAGCAGAACGTTGGATACTTTAGTTGGAGTCGATTTCTGGACGCCGGGCAATAAAATCTGGATTTAAAGCCCGCATCGCTGGATTGTTTGGAGTCAACGCTGAAGTGGTTTGAATTGTAATATGCGCCCTTATTATAATAAGTCGCATCAAACAAATAAGGTAATAATTCTGAAAAAATAAAAAAGAACTCGCGCATGATTTTCGTATCACGCACACATACACATACATAGTACCGCTAATTTGGAAGTAGCAGCAGACAGAAGAATAAAGTGCATAAAGTACAAGAATTTACCGTACGTTTTCTCGACTTTTCGTTGTGTTCAACTTCGTTTTGTGCGGCTGCATTTGTCGGTACAGTCGTGTTACTCAAAAGGTCGAACCGTTTGAGTTGGTTTGTGTAATATAATTCGGATGGGACTGAGTCTGAGTGAAGCGGGACTCTTTGGTTTGAGTAAGAGTGGAACATTTCGGAAATTACAACATCGTTAAAACTCAATAAATAAATTATCGGAAAATGACTCGAAGACGTGGAGGTTCTGACAGCAATACTTCTGTTGTTGAAGAAGTCGATGCGGAAGGTATTATGAGAAAATTAAAGTCAGTTAAGGCAGATATCAATCGTCTAGCGCAAGCTATTAAAACTAAAAAGATTTCTTCAAACCCTACGCAATTGGATTGTCGGTTGAGTATTTTAGACACGTATATAGATCGAGCTTTTTCTTTACAATTGCAAGTGGAGGATATCGATTCGGAATTATCATCGCGAGCCGACCTCGAAGATTTGTGCGTGGTAACCAAAGCATTGTTGTTGTCTTTAAAAGGCCCAACCCCGCCTAATAATTTAAACGAGTCAGTTTTGAATACAACTACATCGCATACACGTCACTTGCCGCGAATGCAGTTGCCCAAATTTAGTGGGAAGTATTCTGAATTCAAAAACTTTATTGGATTGCTTTCAAGCATAATTGATTGTGACCCATCGCTAAGCAACGTTGAAAAATTTAATCATCTATTATGTTGTTTAGAAGGCGAAGCTCTCGGTACTGTTAAGGCCTTTCAGGTGACGGATCAGAATTATGCGAAAGCGCTTGATGCACTGAAACAAGTTTATGATAATGAGTGCCTTATTTTCTTCGACGGAATATCTCAACTTTTCGAACTGCAGGCTATACAAAGCCCTTCAGCTAGTGCATTGAGGTCACTAATTGATACCGTATCTGCAATTTATGAGTCCCTATTGTCTGTTGGTGATGAAAAGGTTATTGCAAACGCACTTTTGATTCATATAGTTATGTCGAAGGTTGACGGAAAGACTCGCTCTAGGTGGGAAGAGAATTTAGATTATCAAAAAATTCCGTTGTGGTCGGATTGCGTTAGTGCCCTCAATAAGCGTTTTCAGCATCTATCGGCTGAAGAAGCCACTACCGGACGGTCAAAGGGTCGCAAGGGACAGCAAGAACACAAAGGTAGGCAGTTCGGAAAAACGGCATTGACAGCAGTACAAACAAGCAAAATGCAGGAAGTAAAATGTGTGTTCTGCAAATCTAATGATCACTTTATCACTACATGTCCGTCATTCGCAGCTGCGGCTGTCATTACCCGGTTTAAGTTTGCCAAGGGATTCCCACTTTGCATAAATTGTTTGAGAAAAGGACATAATGTATCGGCATGCAAGCTATCTCAC